CACAACATTTGTAATTAAAAATTAATTCTTCAACACTCATTTCTACATATATTATTTGAAATCTTGTTTTATTTGACACTTTTGGGCCCTGGGTATGCAGGAAACAAATCTCAGCGTTAAGGGACAAGAAAGATCCACGTACAAGTGACATAAGCACAAATGGATGGAACATAGAGAACTGACCCTGGTCTTTATCAGATTAAACAAAACAAAACAAAGTCTTTGCTTGTCATGAGGTATGGATAATTGTATTATGGGCTCCCCAAATCTGGACATGGTTGGTACTTTGATCTGAGAACAACATAAAGAGTTATTTTTAAGGAAAGCTTTTTTTTTTTTTAAAAGCATGTCATGAATTCTAAAATTGTAATCATATCGAATAGGTTTCACTACATTAAACAGAGAAAAGAGAGTTTATTACAGAGGAAGCATCTAATTTTTTGAGGCCATTGGTTAAGGAGCTGATTATATTGAACCTGGTATTGATATTGTACTGTGAATAAGGTTGATAATCATTTCTCTAAACATAAAAATTTAAAAATGGAAGTGGCAAGTTTGAAATATACATTCAAAGTCCATATATTCAAGTGTACTTTTAGATACTCAAATAGTTCAAAGAGAAATAACAATATCAAAGGAGAAAACGAGATAATATCATACATCACTTAAAGCCCCAATATTGATGAGCATTATACAGCCCCAATACTGTTGACCTGAAATTATTTAAAATTTTAATCTTAAAGCAAAAAGCAAGAAATAGCACTTCAGAAACTTAGATTTGTCGTTTAGTTCCCCAGATGTTTTGTCTTCTTTTTTTCACCCCCAACAGAAAAATGACCTTATGCATTAAAAGAAAGAAGGGCAGGTTGCAAAAAATCATTCTTGGAAAAAAAAAAATTCTTGGTCTGGTATTTGCTTAAGAATGTTTAGGAATGCTACAGAGAAATAAGTTTTAAGATTTTGGAAGATTCGTTTCCCTCAAGTGTCTGACTGTGTAAGTTCTTTCAGAAAATCATTACAGAATTTTACAAAACTAAAAGATTGGCTCAGGATATTTTGATTCACACAATGTTCCCTAACTGCTTTTTTAATTTTAGGGGATGGCACAAGCCTCTATTATGAGTGTTTAAACACAAATTTCTTGAGAATAGCCTAACAATTCTGCAATAATAATTTTTGCTAATTATCAGCATTCAGAAACACATAATTTTCGTACATTATTCAACAAGATAGACAACCTTGTTCAGAAAGATTTCTCAAAAAACAACGAATAAAAATCTCCAGGAAGTATAGCGGGGCTTTTTCCCCTTCATTGCGTAAGTCAGTACTTTCAGAATTTTGGCTTATGAGCACTAAAGAACCTACATGACTGGTCAGTAGGTTTTAAATACACAAATCCAGAGAATAAAAAGCTAGAGGAAACCTGGAAATACCTTTGCTTTTCCAAACATCAACAGAGTCTGAATCCATGGCATTGTGCACAATGAGAGTGTAAGCATGTGAGACACTGAATCTGAAAAGCCTACTGTAGGAGAAAAAACCAACTTAGAAAAAAACAGTAAAGTTGACCAGTTTTTTGGGAAGAGCTTCATTGTATGGAGTGGGGGGAAAAAAAGTACAGTCTAAGAATTCTATGGTCAACCAAATGTTACGCATGTTTTCAATCGAGTGGAAGATAATTTTAAACCATAAAGGCTCAGTGTACATACTTTTGTATTTGGAAATGCAGAAAGATACACTTGGAAGACATTAAATCAATTCCTAAGTCTACTGGAACTCAATCTACAGATGGAGATAAACAGTTACATACCCACAAACACATATTTTATCTATTTATTCATATACATATGCTTTTTCCTTAGAAAAGAATTAGTTTCAAACTATGGCAAATTAACCATCTTTAATGCCTTCAATAAACAAAATTTTATGATGGTCATGAAAAATTTTAAATATTAAAAAAAAATCCGCAAGTCTCCAGTGATATACACTGGGTATTGTTAGAGTGACACCTCGCCTCAGGCATAAAAATCAGAGTTGTGTTTTAACCAATCTAGAGCTCTGAAATTTTATGATAATCTATCAAAGATTAAAGATGAGGGCTCTAAGGATAGCATGTATGAATAAAGCACATATTTAAAGATAAAATAAAAACTATGTAAATATAAATACACGTACATAAACATATATATCCTGAAAATATACTGGTCAAACAAGGTGAGTCCCTGTGGATTCCCATTTGGACTGATGGCCTCCTAGTCAGTTCATCTTTGCATATAAAGAGAATGAATTTTATCATTTTAGCCTGGTGGCCCAGAACACAGGTATTGCCTTGTGGATGGTTTGTATGTTAAAGTAACTCCTTAAAATATTTAATGTTTCAAAAACAGGACCTCAATATTGAACCAAGACAGCATCGTGAATCCAATAGAAAGAAATACTACCAAGGGTTTTATTAAAGACCTATGTTGTAAGAGTAAATAAAACAAAGCTAGAAATCATAAATCACAATGGGTGTGCATTTTACAAGAACTGGACTCCAACCAGAGGATCTGTGCTCACAGAAAGGCCTCGTATGGCACTTTGGCAAATCTTTGGGGAGAATTACTAAATAAATAATTAAAATAAAATCTTAAATAATATGCATGTAGCTTTCAATGATTTCAAACCATTCAAACCAAATAGGCAGACCTTAAGACTACTACTTCCAAAAAGGATGAGAAATTTTGTGACAGTCTGAGCATGTAACATTCTAGGTTCATTTCAATTTTCTCTCTTGAATTAATTTGCTTTATATCTATTTTTTAGATTTAATTTATGAACTTAAAAATGGCTACATAGGCTACCAAGTACAAAGAGTATCATTTCATAACAGTATGCTTCATTCAAATTGTTTTTCAAATCATCCTGATTTGTAGTATTTCCCAATTTCAATGATGTAAATACTGAGAAGGGTTTCTTTATTCAAGTATCTTTGCAAAATCTTAACACAAACAGTTGCTGCAATTTTTTATTTTAAAATAAAAATAATATATACACTTCCTTCTGGAGTATGCTGTATGAAAATGATCATGTCACTCCCATTCTTAAAAATGGTCTCAATTTAAAAAAAAAATGGTGTCGATTTCTATAGCTTAAGTAGATGGCAACACCTAAGGATTAGCATTAGGAGTGATAGGATTATAGTCACAGAAACTTCATACAGACTCAGTGTTCTGTTCACAATTGTTATATGTTGATTCATTGTCTTTACCTTCTTTTAGCTATCTGGCTAACTCTCCTACCTTTTCCTGTTTTATGCATGATATTAGAATTTTTTTTTTTTTAAGATTTTCTTTATTTATTTGACAGACAGAGATCACAAGTAGGCAGAGATGCAGGCAGAGAGAGAGGAAGGGAAGCTGGCTCCCTGCTGAGCAGAGAGCCTGATGTGGGGCTCAATCCCAAGACCCCGGGATCATGACCTGAGCCAAAGGCAGAGGCTTTAACCCACTGAGCCACCCAGGTGCCCCAATATTAGAATATTTTTAATGATATGATTTCACAGGGGCCTGTGTGGCTCAGATGATTAAACATTGGCCTACGGCTCAGGTCATGATCTCTGGTTCCTAGGATGGAGCCCCAGGTCTGGCTCCCAGCTCAGCAGGAAGCCCACTTCTCCCTCTCCTTCTGCCTCTCCCCTGCTTGTGCTCTCTCTGTCTCTCTCAAATGGATAAATAAAATCTTAGAATAATAACATGCTTTCAGTTACATATTAGGTAACGTCCTGGTGAAGTGGCATTCTGAGAGCCAACAAGCAAATAAACAAACAAAACAGGCCTAATTTGTCTATTTCCACTTTGTAAATACTCCCACCATGACCAATTCAAGCCATCAATGTGACGTCATTGAATGTGAAGTTGGGAAGAGCATATCTTAGTGAGTTGGTTGGCTCCAGTAGAGCATTGTGATGAATCAATAATGCCTCAAGTTTCAGAAAAGGACAGTGAATCATTTTAGCATGATTGAATGTTAAGCAATGGGCTGCATTTTATAAAACTATGAAATGACAGAAAAACACTTTCCAAATAAGTATTTTGAGTAGAATAAAATGTAGGTTGAGGCTATTTTATGATTAAAAAATATTCATCATAAGCAATATCATTGAAAGCTTGTAACCTATATGTTAGAGTTTGGAAAATGTGAATGACATTTAATTAACAAGAGAAAATAATCATCATGCATTTTGAGAATCAAGCATTTTATAACATTTGAAAGAAAGTGATTATATATATATATATATATATATATATATATATATATACACATATTTTAATGGCCCTTTAGATATATCTGTAAAGTTCATTATTTTAAAATGCTTTTGATGTAATAAGGTGTATAGTATCTAGAAGCAGACAAAGAAACCTAGCCCAGGAGTTGGCAAATTTTTCCTGAAAGAGCCAGACAGTATGTATTTCAGTCTTTACAGACAATTTAGTCTCTGTCATGAATACAGTTCTGTTATTGTAGTGTGAAAATACCCATGTTCAGCATGTAAATTGATGATCCTGCCTGTGTTCCAATAAAACACTATTTACAGAAATAAGCAGCAGATAGATTTGGCCTGTGGGCTGTTCAAAGTTTGCTGACCTGACTTGAGTGTGTACTGAATCATCTGATATTTTACAGTTCTGATCTCAATATAATTTTTTTAGTGTTTATGAAAAATTAACCCAATGATGAAAGTTTTTTAAAATAATATTACCCAAGTCAACAATATTGACTCATTAGTATTTCTTAAGGTAATCCCATAGCAAACCAACAGCCAAAAGGACAATGCAATTGAAAATAAGATGAATAAAATTGTGAACACATTTTCTTTTATATTACTATACCAAAATATCATAATTCATCATAAGGAGAGAGGTCTACCTAGACAGTAAAGAGGAAAATTTCACATGAAATTAAAATATATTTAATATGAGTACATTCATTTTAATTGACTATGAAATCCTTATCCTTACCTTCTATAAGTTTCCCTGTCTGTTCTGCACTTCCTCCAGGAAGAATTTTGGCAATATAGGCTCCAATTTCACCATTATGTCCAGGGATTTCTTTACCACCCACAATTCTAATTCCTAATCCATTACCTGTATTGAAAAATTAGCAAATTATTAGTCATGATTTAAAGGGACAGCAGTTATCAAAAGTTATAAGGTGCACATAAAGTAGGCTCTGGTACCCAGAAGCTATCTGCAACATGAATATTGGGACTGGACACTAATAACAGAAAGGTATTATTCTGAATTCGGTAATAGTTGATATGAATAGGACATTCTGAGATTTTGGTAGCATCTATGATGAATTACCTAATACTAAAAAATAATTCTTTGAATTCAGCCATACCACCAAGATAAGAAACAAGTATCTTTGCCCATTTTTGACCAGATACTTTATAAAAACATTGTATGAAGATGTTCCCACTATAAGAAACTCCAGAGCATATAGTTCACTTATGAAACTGAGGAGCATTTCACTTAAAAAGGCAGTAATGGCAGTCATACATTGAGAGGACACAATCCAAGCATATGACTGCAAATGATAAAATGAAAACACGATCATAACTTGTGAATTACTATTGACTTTTAGCCTTAACTCATCAACTAACATTGTCTGTGCATTAGCATGGCACTTACTGCAAGGCACAATAAAATTATTCTTGACTGATGAACAACTTAGTAAACTTTTTTATTTCCTAGAACAGATTTTTCTGTAAATAGCCACATGGAAGAAAAGATGGAGAATGATTATTATGTGAAAACTAACTGAGACAGAATTAAGTTTATATTTTCTTTTTAACCAGCTAAAAATTAGCAAGTGTATATATATAAAACACCAGATATACTTTTTTTTTTACCATTGTCAAGGATATTAAAAATAAAAGTACTAGAAGAAAGCAGAGTTATTCTTCTTAAATGAAGGTACAATTATTTCTTTAAATTATAATTCTTGCCATTCACTGATTGAAGTACCATTTTCAACTCTTTCAAAATCTCTAAATTTTAAAAGTCATCTGCCTTATAGTTTCTGTTTCCTTCCCACTTTACTCCTCAAAAGCAATCCCTGTAGTCAGCATCAACACAGTACATTCAAAAATCAGTAACACTGGATTATGGAATCCTTCTGTCATCCACCTAGTATAGTTTGGTAAAACATCATTCTCAGGTTATAAGATGGTTCTGACGGAATTTCCTCTCTCATTTTCTTCCTCCTTTCCTTCTTTGTATTTACCCTCTTTTCTCTCCGTCCTTCCCTACTATTTACCTCCCTCTACTTTTTTTTTTTTTAAGATTATATTTATTTATTTGACAGAGAGAGAGATCACAAGTAGGCAGAGAGGCAGGCAGAGAGAGAGAGAGAGAGGAAAGCAGGCTCCCTGCTGAGCAGAGAGCCCGATGAGGGGCTTGATCCCAGGACACTGGGACCACGATCCGAGCTGAAGCCGAAGGCAGAGTCTTGACACAATGAACCACCCAGGCGCCCACCATCCCCACCTTTATTTTTTAACCAGGGTAAGTGTTCTGAAGATTTAGCCTCAAAATAAAAATTAAAAACAAACAAACAACTATGTTTCTAAGTTTCCTGCTGTTCTCAAGGGGTCAGAGCTTTCTCTGGCCCTACTTGTGGAGCTTTTCTGTTGCCAGTTTCTTGGTCCGTTTATTGCTATGAGAGATTAATTTATGATTACTCATTGAATGTAACTGGGTGAATACAGAATGTCATCTAGTACATGACCTGGTTTCAACTAAGTCTGCATAGAAACAGTTGATTTGTTAGACAGTAGGCTATAAGGATTCCCCAGGACTGATCCTACAGTAAGACATTAGACAGATACAAATAAAGGGTAGAAGATGAAGAAACGTTCCTAGCCATTCTTGATTCAATTAGTCTAGACATTTTTTAGTGTGTGAAGGACATTTGGAAATTACATATTGAAGATTTTAAAATAGCTGGCCATAATTAAATGGTTATTTTATGGACTTTATCTATAAAAAGTAAGAATAGTTTCTTAAAGATTTGATTTCACTCTACATGACTGAATCACTCAGAGCTGTAATTTACCACTTGTTAAACTTCTCAAAAAACACACACAGACACTGAATTTCTAATGTGGCCAGTGTATACATATCATTTTAAGATGTAGTCAGTTTCAGATCCTAAAAATCTACAGATCCACATTTCCTGTGTGTATGGACATATGTTCAAGATCATGGATTACATCAAAATTTATCATAATGCTAGAGTATAGAAGGGACAGCAGGGTACAGCAAAGTGCTAAGGGTATTTGGTTTGAATTATTTCTTTTTAAGCTTAAAAGAGAGAGTGTAAACATAGCCCATGAAAAGCACAAGCTAGATGCTTAGGATCAGTTGTTACACCTTGTAAAGATATAGCTAAAAGAGTAGTTGTGGAACTCCAAATTCTCTTAATTGGTATAAGTGATTATTTTTAAAGGTTCACTTATAGTTCCACTCTTTTTAAAATTTTTTATTTATTTAATTAATTTATTTTTATTATGTTCAGTTAGCTACTATATAGCACATAATTAGCCTCTGATACAGTGTGTCATGACTCATTAGTTAAGTACAGTTTCATTCTGTAGTCTTCAGAGTTAGGTAGTTGGATCCTTAGTACCATTTGATTTTTGGTGACTGAGGACGCTCTAAAACCCTGTAATAAAGGATCAGTGGAAGCAAATTATATCCATCTTAATAAAGTAGCACAACACAATCTCATTTAATTTATAAAATACAGCCTTATACCACTGAATTCTAATACTCAAAGCACTTTCTAAATACATGTTATAAGCCTCAGTATCTTTGGTAAAATGAAAGTAATGTACAGTGATGACAATACTGTGAGAAATGAAATTCATATGTAAAGAAACCACTTCAAGAATACAGTAAATTTTTAAGAATTACTGTTGCTCTGGTTGATGCTAAGTTTTTCGTGTGAACAAAGTAGCATAGAAATATTAAAATTTGTGATAAAATAGAATGATAGAAAATAAAAAGACTCAGAAATTATAACAGTTTTTTGCGTACTTTACAGGAGTAACATGTATCCTAATTTGGACATAATGGATGTAAAGTTAATTTACATGATTTCTAATTATTTAAACCTGGACATTTTGATTTCATATTTCTATAGTTGCACTTTGATACTTTATGTTATAAATGCAGAAAAAATATTAATACTTCCATAAAAATATAACACCCCAACTCGAATCTAAATTGTAGAACTCAATAAAAGATTTGGTAAATTCAAGAAGAAACATTAATTTTTAACTGAAATGCTTATATCTGAATGGTCCTTGATAATTGATGTTTATATCATCACTGTTTTTCGACTTTTGACAAATTTTTATCAACACAAATTCCTTTTGCCTCTCTGCTTGTATTTTATCTAAAAACATTAATAAAATACTTCCTTAGATGCTTTGAAAATACAGTAGTTTTGTTCAAGTGAACAGTGCAGCAGGTTAGAAAGACCAGTAGTTACCAAAGAGACCACAGAAATGTTACTAAAAGATTGTCTAAGTTAAAATAATCTCACAACATATAAGCAGTGATGTTGTTGAAGTCTTACTGAGAAATCTAACTTTCAGAAATCCTTTAAAGTATGTAGAGAATGTTTTTAAGAAAAGAGAAGTTCAGTGATGGATGTAGCAAAATCTTAAGAAAAGTATTACCTTAATGACCTTAGGATTATAATTTAAATGTACAAGTCTTTTTAAGTCCTTATTATAATTATGTGGTAAATACACTCTTATGTAGTCACTTTTAATATTCCGGGCCAAGATGGCAACACAGGAAGCTCCTGAACTCACCTCGTCCCATGGACACACCGAATCTACAGCTACACGTGGAGCAATTCCCTCTGAAAAAAATCCAGAAACTAGCTGAGTGATTCCTACATATTGGGTCAATGAGAAAAACAAAAACAAAACCACATAAAAACAGGTTTTGGCATACCTTCAACTACTGGGAGCCATTAAGAACAAAGAAGGCAGCTTGGACAATCACTAAGGTTTGAGAGATAACCAGAAGCTCAGGCCAGACTGAATCATAATGTTTATCTCCTACATGAAACCACTGCATCAAGTCTAGGAGAGGTGACTGTTTTATCTAATGCTTAGAAACCAACACTGAGAGTCAAAACAATTGAAGTAACAGGGGAATATATTACAAACAAGAGAACAAGATAAAATTCCAGAAAAGGACCTTAATGAAGGGGAGAGAAGTTATTTGATAAAAAGTTCAAAATAATAGTTATAATGATGCTCACTGAGGTTAGCAGAACAATGCATGAACAAAGTGAAAATTTCAACAAATAGAATATATTAGAAAGTACCAAATGGAAATCACAGAACAGAAGAATAAAATAAATGAACTTCAAAATTCATAGAGGGGTTCAATATCAGGCCAGAGAACTGGAAGAAAAGATGAGTTAACTTGAAAACAGAGCAGTGGAAGTCATTTAAGAAGAGGAGCAAAGAGGAAAAAGAATGAAGAGTGAAAATAGATTAAGGGATTCATGAGATACCATCAGAATGAAAGGCATCCTATAGAATGGAAAAAAATTACAAATCATACTTCTTTAATATAAAAATATAAACTCATATATATAGAACTCATACAACATAACAGCAAAAATCTGATTGAAAAATATGCAGAGAAACTAAATAGACATTTTTCCAAAAAGACATACTAATGGCCCAAAGGTACATGAAAATGTGCTCAGCATCAGTAATCATCAGGGAAATGCAAACCAAAACCAAAATGAGATATTACCACACATCTGTTAGAATGGTTACTATCAAAAATGTAAGAGATAAGAAGTGTTGACAAAGATGTGGAGGAAAGGGAACCCTTGTGTGCTGCTGATAGGAATGTAAATTGGTTACAGCCACCATGGAAAACTGTGGAGCTTCTTCAAAAAGTTAAAAATAGAACTACTCTATGATCCAGCAATCCCAGTTCTGGTTATCTATCCAAAGGAAAAGAAATAGGAATTCAAAGAGATATCTGCACTACCATGTTCAGTACAGCATTATTCACAATAGCCAAGATACGGAAATAACTCAAGA